CTTCTTTGTTAAGTTTTACAAAAACACTCTAAAGACTTTGACAAAATACAGTAACAAGGGATGTTACACAAAGTATTCACTGTTATTAGTCTTTCTAGTTAGTTGGTCTTGTAAAAGAAGTCAAACCAACATAACACTGCTAATATATTTTTTAATTAATTAATAGATTAGTTAATTATATTGAATTTTTTAAAATTTATAATAAACTTTTAGCATCATTTCTTGCAACTAAATTAACATTAATAAGAGCAAGATTGTTTTCTGGAGTTAAGATTCTACCTAAATCAAACAAGATGATAAAACTTTGTAAAGATTTTAATTTTGATTCTACTATTTATGATTCTTTTTAAAGAAGCATTTTAACTTACTTTAGCTAAATTTGACAAGCATGTTAATAATAATTCAGCAATTTCAATTTTTAATGCTATTAGATGTTTTGACTTATGCTTTATTCAATTACAACTACATAATCACAATATGTTACTCTATAACAATATAGGAGAATTTAAAAATTCTACAAATGAATTAATTACAGAATAGGGAATTTATTGTGGTTTGAATGAATTGTTTGAAGAAAATTTTGATTTGGATAATTATTGGCAAGAAAAATTAGAAATTTTACCAAATTTATCTAAATTAGCATTAATTTATATTTGGTTACCTATTTCAGGTGTAGATGTAGAGCGTAGTTTCTCTACATATAATAGAATTTTAGCGGATAACAGACAGAATTCGATTAGCATGTTAAATTTTTTAAATTTCAATAAATAAATAAAATTTATTACTTGTTTAAAAAAAATTGCATAATTTTCATAATTTTGTGTATGGTGAGCATCGGGAGCATAATTTGGACCAATCGCATCGCATAATCCGCCCTTTCATTTCGCATCGCACTGAGGTCCCTACTACAAACTGTATGTATATTAAATATTTACTGCGCCATCAGTTGCGGCTAATACTTTTTAGTAAAGCAAATATCTCACTAAATTTAGGATAATTTTTTGGTTTAATGGGAATCCTACAAATCTGCTTTATTCATCTAAGCATGAATTTGCTCCAAAAACATACGTTATTAAATATTTACTGCGGCTCAGCCGCGGCCGGACCGGCTGAAGTGGCTAAGCCGGCTTGCTTCACTAACTGATTGATTTCTTTAATTTTGTAGGTTCCGATTAATTAATGTTCCCGCGGCATGCAAGCACAACCATTTAATTATTTTAAGAGGTAACAGAGTCACACGATCCTTGGGGTCTGGTTTGGTTACGGGCTCGTTACGTTTCGCCGAATACGTCCACGTGGTCTCGCAGTCACGGGTGTCCGCGAACTTCCTTGACTAAACCGGATTTGCCTCCTACAATATTCGTCCTATTAAGAACATAATGCCTAGTGATTAATGAGACACATCTTTTATTGTACTGTATCATATTTATCATAACGATAGTATACAGTCTGCAAAAGACACCATACAATAGCTAAAGATTTAAAATTTAAAAGTGTGGAGATAACAATTCCCTAATTTTATTTTATTTTATTTTTAAGCAAAGCCAAGGTGAGGCAAATTCCCTAATTTTATAAGGCATTATTCACGAATTATAGAATTTAGAAATTACAAAGTTTTATTATAATATCAGGAAATATCTTTGAGTGACGGGATGTGAAAACCTGAAAATCATTTCACTTTTTATCATCGTAGTGAATTCTACTCTTGAGCCTAAGGGATAAGTGAAATGATTTTCAGGTTTTTCACATCCAATCACTCATTTATTAACAGTATAGCGATAGCGATAGCGATAGATATACAAATATTAATCGGAGATTCACTCCGTATCATTGCATCACATTGCATAAAACTAAAACAAATAAATATGTAAGGTTTGTTGTTATATTACGATAACAATAATTATGATACACGATGGTAAATTTCATTACCCACCAGGAGGAGGTGCTTCAGTTTTTAAAGAGAAATATATCAATTACATTTTTAATTACCTTCCTAAAAATGAAGTAAGAATAAATGTTGGAGTAACGCCAAATACTTCACCTCATTTCGGTATAATAACTACTTTCTCACTTGCTTTTGCTCTTGCCCAACAATTAAAAAAACTTGGTAAAACTTTGACAATTATTGTTGGAATAGTAGATACGGAGTCTATAAAATCAGATAAATATATTTTTGATGACATTGTATTCCAAAAAAGTCTCGCTTATACCGGAGGGATTTATGATTATATAGATGATTATAAAGAATTAATAGAGAAATTAAGTTCATACTTTGGTGGTATAGATCATATAATAGTAAATCAAAGTGATTTAAGTCTACATAGGAAGGCACCAGAAATAATTAGAAAAATTATAAATGAAAGAGAAAGAATTGGGCAACTACTGTTTCCCTTAAAAAATTCTTTAGGATTAACAGCAGCTTGTCCACAATGTGGTTTAGCAGACAAATATGGAGTTAAAAATTGTTACAATGGTGACATAATTAATTTTTTTTGTCCTAATCATGGTTTTCATTCAATTGATATAAGTAAAGATAATTTACAAAAACTAGAGTATCAAACTCCGTTAAGAAATTTAATACGAGGTTTATTATATACAGAGGATAATAAAGAAAAGGCAATTCCTTATTCTTGGTTACGGGTTACTGGTTGTGATTTTTCAGGCTTTTATCAAGAGCAGCTTTTGTATAGAGGAATTGCTATGTTTAATATTGATATAATTAATTCACCACTTATTGTTTACGGTCCTTTAGTAATTGATTGGTCAGGAGCTAAATTATCAAAGTCAATTCTTGTTGAAGGAGGATACAAATATATGACCAAACAAGGATTGGATTATTTTATAAATTATCAAAAATTTAAGACAAAGTTTAATAGTAAAGGATTAGAAATATTATTTGATGAAACTAATTTGTGGTTGGAAGAATCGCACAGACTATTTAGAAATTACCCTATTTTTTATTTTGAAGAATTATTTAAAGCAAAAATCAACAAAGCAATGGACTTGGAAGAATTTAACTCCAAGAAAGATATTGAGCAAGATTAGGTTCTAATTGATTAGTATAGTTTAAAAGTTATGGTTATTTACTGGTATATCATTTTTTAAGTTTTTATACTGTATGATCTAAATCTATTTAGATATGTAATACTTAATAAATCTACTAGATTAGGAATGAGTCAGTCTTCGTAAAGACCAGGACGAACCGATCCATCCTAGTTTTGGTTTAGCTTTTGAAATTTAGAACACATCTTTATATTGTCCAATTTTTTTGGCGTGTTTAGTTCGACAAAAAGTTTGATAACGACTTTCTTGTCAACAAATAAAGTAAACCTGCGCTGGAAACATAAAAGAAGTTCTGTGAAAAATAAGTTAGATTTTCTTAATAAACATATTAACAAAAAAAGGACAAATATATCAATAATTTGTAAATTGATTTAAAAAAATATATATAGCTCGTGATTACAAGAAATCAAGACTTTAATAATATTTCTCGAACATGTTAGGGCTATTTTAGTACTCCAAATACACTAATCGTACATATTGATCATCGGCTAAGTGTCATTCTATCAATTAGTAATAGAATGAATTAAAAAATGTTTCAAGGGTTGATTTGGTAAGATGAAATTGAAACAAGTTTTTCTTTAGCGTCGTAATAAATAATCTCCATTTTACTTCAGAACAATAATTAAGAACTATGGATATTGTGATTTATATTTACTTTATAGATAATGGTCATAGACGAATTACTGTACTCCTAAGTTTGAATTATTTAAAATAGTGTAATCATTTAAAAAGTAAAAGCATGAACAAAATTCATATAGGACTGTATATAAAATGTGGGATGTTGTAAGTAAAAATCAATTAAATTAATAATGTATATGCGTAATAATACTAAAAGGTTTTGCTACTTACTGTACAGAGATACTGAAATTAGATCCATAATTTTTTCTAGGTAATTTCTTTTGATTGGTACTGTACTTATCCAAATATATTGGTAAAAAAATCGATTAATAGACAACGTAAAACTTTATTACACGTGTATAATTTGATTTTTGTATTAAGATCTTACAAGACCCAGCAATACAATAATTGGAATGCAAAAGTAAAAATCCGTTATTGTGCGAAAAAATACGATTGCTATACGTAGTAATGGGCAAACCTCGGTTTCCCCAAATATCCCTCGCGGGATAGAGATCAGTGATGGTAAATGACTAGGTCATTTGCTCAAATGACTAATGACCTCGAGTCATCAAATAATGACCAG